TCAGGGCTGAAAGGGGCTGAAAGGGGCTGAAGGGGGCTGATACCCCCCTCCTGGAGAAAATTTCTCCACAATCTGCATATGTATGCTGGAAGTATTCTTTTATTCCCATTTTAGGAATTAAACAATCTTTTAGTGATGGTGTAAAGGTGACCTCCACCATCAGTGGCACTGGTGTAGTCGATGGCCATTAAACGTAATAAACCAACCGAGCATTGTAAGTTAACATTCAAGTTTATTTTGGATGAGTTACCCATCATTAAAATTTAATTAAACTCTTGTACATTATCACCATTATAAAAATAAAAAATAATGAAATGGACAGATTGAACTTAGATTTCTGATTAGGAGGGTGCAAGGTATTAGTTATAGGTATCACAAGCAGGATCTATAATATTTTGTACATATTCATGCATTAATTGAGTCACGTCTGAATTTTTAATTCATTCTTCTGTACTTTTAGCCTCCTGTGCTTATACATTCACCTTTTCATAAAAATACTTTATAAAAGAGTGCATGTATAAGCATAGCAGGATAAAAATACAGAATTCAAACACGACTGAATTAATGCATAAATAGTATGAACAAAATATTATACATCCAGCTTGTGATTCCTGTAACTGATTGCTTGTACCCCTCGGGATGACTCAGTCAGAGATGGAGCAGGTGTTGGGGCTTGGAGCGCAGTCATCTAGGATCATCTATGCTAACCCCTACAAGCTTCCCTCACACCTTCGTTTCGCTCAAGCTCGTCAAGTTTCCTTGATGACCTTCGACAGCGAAACCGAACTACATAAGATCAAGGCTAACTACCCAGAGGCACAGTATGTTTTCATCATCTGTTATTTAATTAGACTAACTTAGAATCTGCCGATATTTTACTAATACTTATCTTTAATTTAGAAATCTTCTAAGTGGTTAGACAACCTCGTTTAAATGCCACAACCTAGCTGAGTATTGTTGCTAACCACATGTATTCCTTTATGCCCACAGTCTACCCATCCCCGAATCGTTATTTCCAGCAGGATAACTCGCCATATCACTAAGCACAAGTCATCTCAAGCTGCTTCCACGAACATGACAGTGAGTTCAGTGTATTCCAATGGCCTCCACAGTCACCAGATCTCAGTGCGACAGAGCACCTTTGGGATGCGGTTTAACAGCATTTTGCAGCATGAATGAGCAACCAACAAATCTACAGCAACTGCGTGATGCTCTCCTGTTAACATTGACTAGAGTCTCTAAGGAGTGCTTCCAGTACCCTGTTGAATCCATGCCAATTAGAATTCAAGCTGTTCTGGGGACAATAGATAGCCCTACCCTGTACCAGAAGAGTTTACCTAATTAAGTGGCCACTGAGTATATATATAGCTAAATTAACAGATTCAAGTTGGCAGCTTCTTCCAGAGTCTTGTTGTCAAGGCTGCCTTGAGAATAGCCATGATGCAGCCATCATGGCTGAGACCAAGACGGCTGGATTCTGGATTCCATGAAGCTATGAAGCAGCAGCACATGCAGCATATGAATACATCACAAACCACATATTTCAGTTTAAATTAGACCCTGTTCCTCTTCTGTTTATTCATCAAAAAGCTCACCGAGGATCTAACCAGTGAGTTCAGCATCCTGCTCTTAGATGGCACTGGCGGGAAACACACAGTTCTTACTAGACCACATCAGAGTTAACAAAAGAGCAAGAAAAGAATCTGTGCTTTTCCGTAAACTCCTCAAAACATGAATTTTTGTCCTCTTGCTAACACACCATTTAGCAAATCTCGGCTGCCCTCCAAGGAGTGTAAATCATTTATTTCATTGAATGCACTCTCCTTGCAAAACATGTTGAGAAATGGCATTACCAGCTAAGCTTAATTTATAAATATAAATATAGTGAACACTTAGCTGATAAAAGACAGCAAATCGTCTACACAGCCGCCCCTGCAGACGAGGTCTAGAAGCTGTCGAAACCATCTTTCAACGGGCTGTAAAGATTTATAATTTGTAAGATTATAAATTACCCCTAGGGGGTGTTATGTCAGCATATTTCATTCACTGATGGCTGACAAAATACATACTTGTTTGGACTCAAAAGTCCACACCTTACTGCCGACTATAGGTTGATTACAAACTCCTTGCGACTCAAGTACTGCGCAGTCCCCCGTACAACAAGAAATTCGTAACATACCTTGCTCTTGTAACGTGAGCTATGGTGTTCTTCACACCTTCGACAGGTATCGGTGACTTGATAGAAGCTGAAGTGTCCTTGGATGTCCACGTCTTCCATTGTCTAGGAAACGCACACTGGTACACTATGTTCCACAAGATTTGTCTTTATTGTTCACAATCTTATCACAAGAGAAGCTGATCACACTTCTCTTAAGTGTTTATTGTGTTTTGTGAGAAACTTTGTTCACACTAACGCACAGATCGTTGTTCTTTGTTGGTTATCCTGGCATCAGTGTCACTCTCAGTGGAGTCAAAAGTAATCTGAAGACGCCACAGCGCCCCATGCCGTCACTCCCCTAGCACAAAGAAAAAGCTGACATAGTACTTTTGCTTCCTTGCCACTTCCTCGATGAAGTAAAGCAGAATGTTTGATTCTTGCTGTCTTAAGCATAGACAACAATGTCCACTATCTTTACTATGGTAATAAAGAGGGAGCAGGATTTTCCTTAATTGTCCTGCTAAAGTAAGAGATGTACTGTCTCTTATTAAACTACACTTTGCAACACTGCAAGGAGCAGCGGTCACTTGACCACGTCGCATACTCGTACGGCATCTGTGATCAATTACTCACTGTAGCAGTAAACAAGACGTTTGCCCCTTCTGAGAGGGCTGGGCCCCTCAGGGCCGAAAGGGGCTCAAGGGGCTGAAGGGGGGTGATATCCCCTCCTGGAGAAAATTTCTCCACAAAACACTTAGAATGGCTAGTTTGTTCATAATCAAACTACATATCACTTAGTGTATAAATGTGAGGAAATATTTTCATTTTAATGTTTTGAGGAAACTACAATATTCTTATTAAAATTAATTATAAGTAAAGGTATATGCACACAATACACAGTCTTATGAATATGCTACTCGTGTTATTGTTCCTGTGATCACCATCCTTGTGATCACATCATCGGCTTTTGATTCGCAGTAAACCATTACGTTGAAGGCATAACATTCAGCAACAAACAAATGTTCCAACCTCATCTCGCCAGGCTGGTGCTTCGCATACGCTACGACGCCGCCAAGTCCTTCATATGTTTTGGCGAGAAGTTTGGAGTGTTGCCTGACAAAGCCCGGACGCTGCTGGTTGCTGCCCGTGCCTTGACTCTCAGCGTAGTGGGTGTCGCATTCCACGTGGGCTCTGACTGTAGTGATTTACCTGTGTTCTACCACGCTATTGCCGCAGCACGGAAGGCAAGTACTGACTATGGATAACACCCGTTGACCCAAGCATCAGAACCGCTAGAATATTATAAAAAAAATCATTTATTTTTCTTTAAATAAGTGTAGTTTTGGCAATTTTTACCTTAAACTACAGGTCAGTGAATTTTGTGCGATTTATAGCTGGCACTGAGTATTATGAAAATGCAAACTTTTTTACGAAAGTTTTGAGGTCTGTACTCATCTAATTGTGGTTGTAGGGGTCGAGACTCAGCTCCTGGCCCTGCATCTTCATTGACTGCTACCGTGTCCTCCCTCTCGCTGGTCCATGAGCTTTATCATACCTCGTCTTAAAGCTATGTATGGTTCCTGCCTCCACTACATCGCTTGCCGGACTATTCCGCTTTCCTAACAACTCTGTGGCTGAAGAAATACTTCCTAACATCCCTTTGACTCATCTGAGTCTTCAGCTTCCAATTGAGACCCCTTGTTTCTGTGTCTCATCTCTGAAACATCCTGTCTCTGTCCATCTTGTCTATTCCACGCAGTATTTTGTTTGTCATTATCATGTCTTCCCTGACCCTCCTGTCCTCCATTGTCGTCAGGCCAATTTTCCTTAACCTCTCTTCGTAGGACATTCCCCATAGCTCTGGAACCAGCCTTGTTGCAAACCTTTGTACTTTCTCTAATTTCTTGACGTGTTTGACCAGGTGTGGGTGTTGTTGCTGTTCTTACTGCTGAACAGCGGTTTAGTGCCGATGAAGGTAGCGTAGGTAGCAATGATACGGCCGTGGACTAGTTTGGCTTTAATTGGGTAGGAGTGAGTACACAACGGGCGTGTGAGGGGAGTGACCGCAAGCCAGTCCATGGAGGGGGAGCACTTGTGTCTATCAAGAGGGTCGGCCTAGGAGTGAGGGCCGGTGGGCTCAGCCTCCACTGACGTGGGTGAGCCTACAGAGGGCCAGCACCTAAATGCCGCGAAATATGAACTAAGCTGGCAGACAGCAGGGACTGTCTGCCAGACAGTACAGGCTGTCTACATATGCTCGGCCACCTACTCGTGTCGTCCCGACGCGACAATACTGGTGGGTCGTAGGTATAAAGGAATTACGTACACTAGCTGCCCCAGAGAGGGACTGGCTTTCGCTCACTAGTAAATAAAAATGGACATAAAAATGCAACAGGCAAAAAAAAAACTCTCCCATCCAGGAGAGAGAAAACTGGTTGCCCGCGCTGATTCATTGAGGAGAGAGTCCGGAGACGTCAGCACTGAACTAAAATCTTCTATATACATGTTGTCCGCAGGGCTGAACATCAGTTGACCACTCTCTACGAACGTTTTGTTGCACCTCACATCTGCAACAATGACTGACAGTTGATTTCCTAAGGTGTGACATGTGACTCAGAGGCAGCACTGCCCTGACCGTATACAGGCTTTTTTTTTTTTATAAAAACACTGGGTGCACATACCTACAATAATACTATATCCATGGAATTCATTACACTCTGGGTACCCTTCTAAAATATTTACATATTACATGATGTTTCACCTGACTCCATTATCGACTAGCTATACAACGTGTGTGCATTTATACCATTTCTGCAAGCAAACAATTAGCATAACTAGCGTAGGACTCAGACAAGTCAGTAGGTACGTCAATGTCACAGACATGTACTGTTTCCTGGGTCGCAGGCCATAGTATGGAGCCTTACTGGGCCGTCTTCCGTACCAGTAGTAATGGGAGAAGGGATAGACGGGTTGTCCCCAGCATTATTATGATCGTGGCGTTGCAACGCACGCGCCTCCAGCTCTGCTTGGCCTGCATATGGTCCACATACTTCATGTGATCAAGGTGGGCTTCCTTAATAGTTCCGTAGCAATCTCCCTCACCTCGAACTTATTGCCACGAGCTGTCATAGGACACGGTAAGGACCCACAAACTTTGGGACAAGTTTGTGCATACCTGGGTTGCACTGGGTTGAGCAACAAACTTTGCAACTGGTTCCACTTGCTTTCCTTGGCGGGGGCATTGCGCTCAGGACGTGAACCTATCAGTAGCTCTTCATAAGGTTTTCTCGTACCAGCTGCGTTTGTCACATCTTTACTACACTGGGTTATCAGTATCGTAAGTAGGTCTAGGTGGAGCAAACAGAATTTCATATGGTAAGCGCTTGTCATAGCCATACAAAGCAAAATGAGGTGTCTCACCGATCGAGCTGTTGAGAGGGAATTTAATGTACACTGAACATCAGGATAGCCTCATCCCATGTAGTACAACTGGGTTAACGGTTACCCTGGCACCTCCAGGACTTTGCGATTTGTACGTTCAGCAAGACCATTACTCGCAGGGTGGCGTGGAGCTACTGGCGCTTGGTGAATATTTAAATTGAGCAAAGATCCTGCATTATGTCATTTATAAACTCAGACCCATTGTCTGACAAGAAGGACACGTGGGCAAGTATGACGAAGACACAACTGCTCACGGAAAGCACTAGCGACCGTTTCGGCGGTTTTATTCAGGAATGGGTACTAATTCACTGTACGCGTCAAGTTATCTACCATTACAAGCAGGTGCTTATTTCCCTTTCCGAGGTCGAGAAGTTCGTCAACAGGTCGACAGAAGTTCCTCCCAGGGTCCTTTGTAATGGGATACTTTAGAATGGGGTTAGGACCTGTTAATGGTACCCTGTGCTGTAGGCAAACAACACACTGGTGTACATGCTTGGCAATGTCCGTGCCATCTTAGCCAGAAATTTTCATTCATGCCTGTTTGATACTGCGGTCCTTCCCGGGGTGCGCTACACCTGGGACATCGTGGATCAACCTAAGAGTAGCTGGTATCATGGACTCTGTGTCACCAGTTGTGGTATTGGTTCTGCCGGGTCCACCAGCTGTGCAACACGGCACAGTACTCCTTGGTTGACCACCAAATCCTTCAGTGGAACAGGAGACTTGACCTGTAAGTCAACGTCCTCCTTGGTCAGGAAACGAAGGGACTGGAGACCACACAGGGTCCTGTCGTTGGGCTCTCTCGAGATCCTCAACAGAGAACGAATTGCCAACACTCACGAATGCTATATGCCTCGACAGGGCATCAGCTACAACATTTTGCTTACCTGGGACATAGCAAATTTCAGGGTTGTAGTCATTGAACGTGAGCGACCACCGAGCATGCTTTCCCGAGAGGTTTCTTATCGCAAAAAGGGCCATAAGGGTAAATGATCTGTGTAAATCTTGATAGGATAATGATAGATGATATCCCGAAAATGACTCAGGGCCCATACAATGGCTAAAGCTTCTAGCTCTGTCACTGAATAATTGACTTCTGCTTTAGTAAGGACACGGCTAGCATAGGCAATAGGCTGTTGCTTACTATTAGATTCCTGTGACAAGACTGCACCGATGCCAACTTTGCTGGCATCAGTCGTCAAGGTAAATGCCTTGGTGAAATCAGGGAATCTAAGGGTTGGGGCTGATGTTAACTTGTTCTTAAGGGTGGCAAAAGCTCGTTCCTGACCACACGTCCACTCAAAAGGGGCATCCTTCTTGAGTAAGCGTGTCAGGGGTGCAGCAATGGTGGAGAAACCTGCGATAAAGGTGCGGTAGAAACCCGCCAGGCCTATGAAGGACCGGACTGCATCCGCCGTCATGGGTCTGGGGAATTTCTGCACGGCCGAGATTTTAGACTCGTCCGTCTTTATGCCATTCTGAGTCACTACTTGACCCAGAAATTTTATTTCCTTCCGGAGGAAATGACATTTGGAGAGCTTTACCTTAAGGTTTGCCTGAGCTAGCCTGTCCAATACCCTGTCAAGTTTCTCAAGATGTGACGGGACATCTTGCGACATGACTATGAGATCATCCAGGTAGACATGAGCGTGCCACCTGGAGGGTACGGAAAATTGTCGTCATCAAACGACTAAATGTGATTGGGCTTCCGTGCAAGCCGAATGGCATCCTCCTGAACTGGTAATGACCAGTTGGCGTAGAGAAAGCTGTCAACTCTTTGCTCTCATCATCGAGGGGGATCTGCCAGAACCCTTGAAGATCAAGAGTTGAAAAGACCTTATTATCGCCGATGTTCTGCAACAGGTCGTTCAGAACTGGCAACGGGAAACGGTCTGGGATGGTACATGCATTCAGTTCTGTAATCGATAACAGGGCGCCAGGTTCCGTCCTTCTTGGGGACCAGAATAAGGGGAGCATTCCACGGGGAAGTGGACTCCTCAATAACTCCATCACGGAGCATCCGTGTAATGAGTTCTTCGGCTAAGACTCTTTGCGCATGTGGCAGGCGATACGCAGGTACGTAAATGGGTTTAGTACCTTTGTCAAGTGGAATATGGTGAGAGATCAGTGGGGTCAAACCCATTGACTCACCATCTAGTGCGACTGCAGAACGTGCACGATGAGACCTGGAGAAGTTTTGGGACCTCTTCAGGATAGTCTGTCAAAGCTAGATCATCTTCCTGCACTGGCCGGGTGTTGGAAGAGTCAGCAGCAGACTCGCCTGGGAGAACTGCACTCACGAGGAAGTCAGCTGGGACTTCACCCTCCACTCTCACCGGGAGAGGGAATTTGACAAGGTCGACAAGTGAGGTATTCTTCCGCAGGGGAAATTCTCGACTGTGCATGTTGACAACAAGGACTTGCAACTTACCACGTTGCACTGTGTGCAAGGATGGTTCAAGGGAGAGGCCCTTGACTCGGCACGTGTCGTTGTCAACCAGCACATGGTTTCCTTCAAAAGCTCTGCTCACGTACACCGTAACAGGAGTGAGCGAGTTAGCTGACAAAGTGACGTCATACTTTGTACAAGCCGTAACTCTGCTCGCTGATGCCATGACACGAGTCAGACAGTCGCCTGCCGACAGGGATACTGTGGCTTGACAACTGCTGTTCTCTACAACAGCGTCAGAGTTAGAGTGAAGGTTAGACTGGGCGTCCCCAGACTGGGTTTCACTGGTAACTAAGCGCTGATGGCCAGGAGGTGACGGGCAACGAGCTCTACTACGAGGTCGATCAGGACAAGAGACCGACCCCGGAGAGAATG